TTTCCACAAAATACATCAGACTAGCTCCCATAGGATTTCATAGGATAACAACAGCTTTTTGTTGTTAGTCGTTTCAGCTGTGTCTGACTCTCCCTGACCCCTTTTGGGGTTTTCTTGGCAAAGATACTGGAGTGGTTTGACATTTCCTTCTCCAGTTCATTTTACAGATGAGGAAACTGAGAGAAACAGGGTGAAGTGATTCGTCCAGTGGTACAGCTAGTACTGAATCTACCTCTAAACTGCATCAAAGCCAGATTTGAACTTAGATTTTACTCCAGGCCCAGTGCTCTACCCACTGAATCATTTGGCTGCTCTAATGAAGCTAGCATTTATATAGCACCTACTATGTGTCAGGCACTGTGCTGAGCACTTTACAAATATTATGTTATTTGATCCTCACAACAAATCTGGGAGGTAACTGCCATTATTATTTCCATTTTACAAATGAAGAAACTGAGGCAGACATTAAATGACTTGCCCAAAGTCATATTGTTGAGGTTTAGGGGTGCTGGGACCCCAAAATAGTGAGAGCAAGAGACTCTTGATTCTGCCCAAATGAATTCGACCCAAGCCTTCTTTCAGTCAAAGACAAGGTTTATTAGAACACTGATTGGGAGGGGCAGCTAGGAGGCGCAGTGGATACAGCACCGACCCTAGAGTCAGGAGGACTTGAGTTCAAATTCTGCTTCAGACACATGATACTCACTAGCTGTGTGACCCTGGGCAAGTCACTTAACCCTATTGCCTAGCAAAACAAACAAAAACAAAAAAGAGAACACTGATTGGGATGAACGAGATTCCTGGAGATTCTATGCTATTGGTCAGATTTTAAGAATTTGAGCACCTTAATGGAGACAAGATGGATCTTAGATATGGAAAGACTGTGGGAGGGACCTAGGAGTAGCCAAGTAGTTTGGGGTGACTGGAGGAGGGGTCTGAGAGAAGGGGTCTAGGGAGGATCTTGATGAGAGAGACTAGGAGGTAGCATGAGGTCTTCATAGGATCAAGGGTGGTAGCTGGAGGTGATTGGGAGGTAACAGACAATGAAGGTTGGGGCAGGGTCAAAGCCACCAATGCCAGGACAGTGCAAATGCCAGGGACCTGGGCCTGCTGGGAAAGTCCAGGGCTTTTCCTTTTTTGGGGTCCAGATCCCAAAGACATGGTCTTTTTCTTTCAGGGGTTCAGATTACATCCCCCTCATTATAGCATCTATGTGCCTACGGGCCAGATTTGGACCCAGGCCTTCCTGACTCCACAACCCCATCTAGCTAGAACTGAGCTAGGAATGAGTCTCAGGGGGTCATCTAGTCCAATTTCCTTTAACAGATGAGGAAACAATCTCAGAAAGGTGAAGTTACTCACCTAGATACAAGACACAGATGCTTTCCTGTCAATTGATCCATAAATCAACAAGCATTTATTATGCACCTGACGCATTCTCAGGACTATTCTAGGTGCTGGGACTATAAGAGTAAGAAGCTGAAACAGTCCCTGCTTTTTAAGGAGTTTATACTCTAAGGAGGTAAGACAAGGTACATCAAACGTCTTTGGCAGAGGCCGAACTGCAGCAGGGCCAGAGCCAGGCTGGGCTCCTTGGCTATTCCTGAATGACCAGAGGAGAAGCACAGCCTCTGGCCTGGTTTGCCAGAGCATGCTGCCTTTGAGGGAATACTTCTGACAGGGCAAATGCTGACGTAGAGAAATGCTCCCTGCAGAACCCCACTAAGTGCTTCAGGTTTTAATATTTTAAGGGTCACCCTCCTGGGAGGGTATAATAGAACTTCTAAGTTATGGCCTTTGTGAACGGGTGCTGGTCTTTTATGCTTTAAACATTTCTTTTGTATGGAAGAAATAAATAGCTGTTCTGAAATACCTGATCGTAGTTGTACACCGAGTACTTTTCTACTGCCTGTTTTCTGTGAAAACCTGAGACATGAGCCCAACTTGAGTTTGAAGTGATTTTTCTCCAGGGGTTCCAGAGTGGGAGTTTAAAGAGCTAGAAAATTTGAGAAAAAAGAACTTTACCCCTCCCTTTGTAGGGCAGACTCTCCCACGACTGAAATGGGTGCTCCCACAGGAGTTTAGAGCGAGGGGCCCTTTTAGAGGGAGAAGGCAAATATTTTACAGATTCCACCTGCCCAGCAACGGGTTTGTGGTGTTAAAGGGATGCAATTTGAGGAGGAAGTTACTAGCTGCTGGAGAGATCAGAAAAGACAAGGAATTTGAAGGAAAACAGGGAGAGAGAAAAAACCAGAAAAAATGGGGAGGAATGTCCTCCAATTTTCAATTATTTTTTTCCTAAGGGAGTTTCATATCTCTAGGGTTTCTCCCACCTGAGAAGTCCAAAGAGAATAGTTTTTCCTAAAACAAATACAGCCAGTAAATGATACAGCAGAATTGTTATAATTCATATTAATTAGTCTCTTGTCTCTTGTCTGACGCTTACTAGTAATGTTAACTACTGGCAAATCATTTTTATTCTTCACATGTCAGTTTTTTTCTCTGGACATAGTCATACTTTTATGTAGAAAGTAATCATTGTGCTTCTAGGTTTCTTGTTGTGAAACTGCCTATTGGACATGTCCAACCGGATATCTTATCCTTTGAAACATCTCCAACTCAAGGCATCTGAGACAGAACACATTATCCCACCTCTTCCTTCTTTCTATCTTCCTTATTTCTGAAAGCCAACACTTTCTTTCCCATCACCCAGGTTCACAATTTCCTCCCCTTCTCTTCTCCTTCACTCTTCACATCTAATCACCCTGTCCACTGATGTGTCAATTCTCCCTTCCCATCATATCACCCCACGCTAGCTCAAGCTCTCATCACCATTTGCAATAGCATTCTAGTTCTCTTCCTGACCCCAGCCTCTTCCTTCTCCAATCCATCCTCCACACAGCTACCAAACTGATTTCCCTAAAGCAAAAGTCCCTCTACTGCTCCCTAAGCTCCTGTGGCTAACTCTTATTTCTAAGAACAAGATTTGCTTGATTTTTAAATCCCTGCACAATCTACTCCCAGCCCACATTTCCAGGCTCATTGTACACTATTCTCCTTTAAGTATTCTATGTTGTAACCTGACTTGTCAACCTGCCCCATACATATTCTGTTGTCTGCCATCAAGCTATTCTCTAGGCTTTCCATTTTATCTCTATCTCTTAGAATTCTTTGCTTCTTCTAAAGCTTAGCTCAAATTCCAAGCTCCTTCAGGAAAACTATTCCTAGCTCCCACTTTGGCAATACACTCCGCGTGTGTGTGTGTGTGTGTGTGTGTGTGTGTGTGTGTGTGTTTTGTATTGAATTTTCTACTTACATCTTGTTTCTTCTCAAAGGAATGCAAGCTTCTGGAGGGGGCCATCTCCAATTGTCCTGGTCTATCTCTTGCCACTGAGGTCATTGGTCCTCTTCTAGAAGGAAGAACAAACAGTAACACCAAAAGCTTCCTGAGGTTCTGGGAAAGTTTTGCTTTGTCTTCCTATCCCCAACCCCTAGAAGAGGAAGATACAGAAGTAATGCTTAATAAATGATTGTCGATGGAAGCTATTCTCATGCTATTTCATTCAGATATTTCAACGTCCAGTTAACAAGCACTTAGTGGAGATGTGATTCTATTTACAGTTGTTTCCTTCACCTGAGCAAGTCAGTGTCTTTTCCCCGCTTTTCCATTTTCTAATATTTTCATCTATAATTTCCCCAAACATCTTCCACAGAGAATCCACACAAGGAACTTACAGGCCTTAGTATTGTTGAGGTGCTCTTAAAGATGAGTTATTATAGGGAGTCCAACAATGGTTGAGTGCTGATCTCCTTCTACCTGGAGGTGAGTCTTTTTTTCCTATATGAACAGAAGTTAAATATCTCTTTAAAAATTTTTGCTTGGCTGTCTGGAATTTCAAACTATACCAGGTGCTTTTGTGCCCTGATTTAAAAAAAAATTATCAGATTTGCTTCTGGTGTAGGGTAGACCCTTCTGGCTAATTGGGAAACTCTCGAGTGAGATAAAGGCAAAATGTCATAGTGTGGTCCATATTTATGGCTTGACCTAGGATGGTGGTTGTGTAAATGGACAGGACTGGTAGAACTGGTAAGACTTGAAACCTGATTGGAAGTGAGGGGTGGGAGGAAGTGAAGGGGATGGAGCTGTGAGCCTGGGTGACTGAGAGGAAGGTATTAGTTCTCAAAGAGAATAAAGTTTGGAAGAGGGGAGGGGAAAAGGATAAATGCCATCTATTTTGGACACCTTTAGCGTGAGATATCTATAGAAGATCCAGTTGGAGATGAGGAACAACAAACTTAAGAAGCTGGGTAGGAAGCATTGTCTCCACATAATAATAATATTATCTATAATTGTCAATGTAAAGATAATAATAATGATAGCATTGATGGAGTGGTTTAAGATTTGCAAAGTACTTGACGAACATTATTTCATTTGATCCTTACAACAACATTGGGAGGTAAGTGCTATTATTATTTCTAAATTACAGATGAGGAAACTGAGGCAGGCAAAGGTTAATCGACTTGCCCAGAGTTCGCACAGCTACACCGTGAGGCTACATTTGAACTCGGTTCTAAGTCTAGGTCCAGTACTCTCTCCATTTAGCCATTTAATTAAGAGGAGAATCAGGTATCTTTGAACACCCTATTATAGCCCGAAGGAAAAAGTGGGAGAGCGCGTGGCCTCCCCCATTATCCTCCAAGCAACCCTTCTTTCTCCGAGACAGGGCGCCCACCTACCCTAAAGGCGAGCTGCGCTCCTAAGCCACGTGGGTCGTCGCCTGGGGGAGCCGAGGGACTACAACTCCCAGGGCGCCGCGCGCGGGCGCGCCGAGCGGAAGTGGCCCGCGCGCCTCCCGCCTCCTCGCCTCGGAGAAGAGGCTCTATCCGGGGCCTTGGCGCTTCTCTTTCCTTTCGCGCCGGTTGCCCCTGCGGAGCGCGGCGGGTCCATGTGCGCAGCGAGCGGCGCTAGTCGCGGCCCAGCACGACCCCGAGCGCTCCCCCTGCCCCAGGCTCGCCGACCATGGACCCCAACACGATCATCGAGGCCCTGCGGGGCACCATGGACCCAGCCCTGCGGGAGGCCGCCGAGCGCCAGCTCAATGAGGTATGGAGCGGGCGGCCCCGCGGGGCCTGGCGGGGAGTCGGGCTGCGGGCTGCGGCCGAGGCACCGCCGGGAGGGCCGAGGGGGCGCCGGCGGCCCATGGCGGCGGCCGCAGGAGGGCCGAAGCCGGCGCGGACCGGAGAGGCGGCGCCTGGGCCCGCGCCGGGGCCTGGGGCCTGAGGCGGCGGCGGCGGCGGGGAGGCGGCCTCCGCGGGTAGGGCTCCCCCTGAGGCGGGGCCACTCGGGCCGCCGGACACATGGCCGGGACACTCCGAGGTCGGCCCGCGCCGGGCCTCGCCGCCCGCCGCCCCCGGCTCCTCCAGCCCGCCCGAGGTCCCGGGCCACGTTAGGCCACTTCTCCAGCGACGTCTCGGGGGAAGGGGTCGGGGCTGAGCAGGGGCACATTCCGCCCTGCCCCTGGCGGGGGATTGGGGCCGCCGAGACCCTGGCGGGCTGCATCCCTCCCCGGGATGCTTAGTAAGGATGGAGAGCGGGGCTAGGCACAGCCATCAGGCAGCAACTCTACAGGTGTGCGTTCTGTTGCTTCTGGATGGACCAGATGACCTCTGATCGGCCCTCCCCCCACCAGCTTCACCATCCTGGGATGCCGAGATGCGGGGCTTGGGAAACCTGGGTTCTGGTCATTAGCTCCACCATTGATTGGCTGCGTGACCTTGGGCAATGATTTTGTCTGTTTCTCCCATCAGTAGAATGGGGGTGATTCCTGCTTCACCTGATCTTCACGGTTGCTCGGGTCAAAGGGCTTTGAAAGATACTGCATTGGTTTTTTTGTCTCATAGACCCGTAGTTCCCTCTTTTGAAATGAATTAGCACCTGGAAATCATATTGGAGACATTCAGTAATACCTTTGTGTAGTACTAACGGGACCAGATTCGTGTGGCCAACCTTGTGAATTTTGATGCAACTGCTCTTAAATTGTACTCCTGTGGCTAAACTTCTGAACATTCTTAAACCAACATTTCTGTGTGTGGTGCATGTTTACTGTATTCGAAGAGTTTTATTTTGTTCTCTTTCACCCTTTATTTCAAAGGAATACTAAGTTAGATAGAATTTTTATTTTTACAATTGTATGGCCTTTGGTGAATCATTTGTACTGACTCCTCAGTGAGTACTGGAGTTTGAGATGACTATAGGACATCCAGTTGTAGATAACTAATAGGCAGCTGACAACAAACTTAGAAGGTAGGTGCACAGGTATTATCCTCACATAACAACAGGATTTTCAATATCTGTCAATGTTAATATGAGTCAAAGCATCTTTCAATCTCCTATTATACCCTGAAGAAATAAGACAGCAGCACTTCACATTGCCTTCCTTCAAACACATCTTTTTCTGAGGCAATGAATGCACTTGCCAACTCCAGAGGAAGCTGAGAGATTTATTGCATCTGTGATATACTAGATATCGGAGAGAACATTAGAGATTCTTGACCTCAAGAGGCATATCTTTCAAGCAAAGCATTTTAGTTTGCAGTGCTGAAGTAGTTTCTATTTTAATGTTAGATCCTAATGTTCATTTTCCAATCTTGTTAACTCGTGTGTATATGTTAGTTTGAATTAGACTGAATGCTGTCACACAAAGGCTCAGGATTGCTTCTTCATATTGAGTACCTCAAAGTCACCTTGGGCAAGCACAGATGTCACATGGAAGGAATTTTTGCTGTGAATATTATTATTAATTGATTTCCATTTTGTGATAATACAAATGCTGGGGTTAATATATTTCTTTTTCTACATCACCTTAGAGTACTATAAAAGTTTAAAGAACTGATTTTTCCCTTTAAAAAAACCCCTTTGGCTCAGTATTATACTATAATGGTTAAAAATCTACTTTGTTAGATCTACCAATTTAATAAGAAGATGGGGGAGGGGTAGACTAGATAGCCAATACAGTCTGTCAAATTTAATTTTTTTTTAACAGAAATATTGATTCCCTCAATCAGCCAACAAGCAGTAACCACACTCTGTGTCAGGCACTGAAGTATGCACTAGGCACAACAGGACAAGGAAAACGGTCCCTGCTTTCTATATATTGTTAGGGGAGACAACAAGCATATAGAGATGTATAAAACAAAGTAAATACAAAGTAACCTTGTGGGGGAAGGGAATAGCAATTGGAAGAACAGGGAAAGGCAACATGTAGAAGGTGGTGCTTGTGCAAGTTTTGGAAGAAACCAGAGATTTGAAGAGAAAGATGAGAGGGAGAGCATTCCAGGCATGGGGGGCAGCTAGTATGCAGATGTTTGGAGATAGCAGAACTGCAAGAAGGTAGGTATGACTGGATCTCAAAGAATGTGAATGGGGCTGGAAAGGTAGGCTGGAGCCAGCCTGTGAGGTAGACACTGAAGATGAAGTGGCACAGCAGACTGAGGGCTGGGTTTGAAGTCAGGTGACTCAGTTCAGATCATTTTGCTGTCCTCAGTTTCCTTATGTGTACAATAAAGGGGGTGAACTAGATGATCTTTGAGAGATCCTCTTTCAGCTCTAATTCTCTGGTCGGAGTAGAAGCTAACATTCCAGTTGTGTTTGGAAGTGAGGCAAATGATCTGCAGGAAAGCTTTATACAATGTAGTCATTCTGGCTGTTTTTTTTTATTAAGTGCCCACTAAGGGTCTGGCACTGAATTGGGGGTCAGGGATACTTGGACACAAATGGAAGTCTCTTGAGCTCCTCCTGGAGCTAACATTCTGTTGAACTCATAAATATTCAGTAAGATCCATTCACTTTTAGTTTGCACAAAACTCAGTCCTAGGAACTGCTGGCCAAACAAAGATAACTAACTGTGCTTAAGTGTAGTAATGACAACAGTTGACATTTACATGATACTTTGCAGTTTGTAAAGATTTTCTTCACATAATACTGTGAATGGGCAGGGGGGGTGGGGGGTGGGAGGGGAATTTGAAGGAGACCTCGGGGAGGCTAGTATAAAATTGGCTATAAAATGAGGAAATCTGAGGCTCCAGGAAGGGATTTGACTAGGATCATAGAACTGAGACCCTGGCCCTTTTTAAGTCTAGTCAGCTTTCCATTGTAATATGCTGCCTCTCAGTGGCTTTTGAATATTTTGAACACTGCTGAATCCTCATCTTTGTCAAAGAATTTTTGGCAGCCTGCCTGGATTTTGTGACCTAGTTGACATTTAAGGTTTGCATCTTTTTGAGAGTTTATGCCAATTTTTGCTTTTTTTTTTTTTTCACCTGGAAAACTTGGTAGAATGTGTTCTCTTATCTGTCAGAGCTTATCTACCAGTCCTACTCTTCAGCTTTTTAACCTTTTCTGGGCAGCTTCCCATGGTTTAGTTAATTAGTTCATCTACTGGAAAGATAATGATTTAGGAAGCACTTAGATAAATCTTAGAGGCTAGACTATAGTAAGAATGAGGAAGTGATATTTTGTTTTGGACAGATATGTTTTGGGAAAGGATAGAAACTGTCAACTGTAGCATAGTGTTAACATTCCATTGATGTCATTTTTCAATAATTTTGTTAAAAGAAAAAGGCAATTGCCATTTGACATTTTCTCTACAGGATAAAGCTATACTTAGTCATTGTCTATACCTATACTAAAATATTTTTAAAACCACTTTTACGATCATATATCTATTGGTGATAGAAGAGAACAAGACTGTAAGGCAGCAGTGGTTTGGTGGAAAGAACACTGAACAGGAAGCTGGTACATATAGGTTTCTAATCTCAGCCCTGCCTAATGCCTTACACCTAGTAAACACTTAATAAATATTTTTTTGGATTGAATTTTTAATTTGACGGTCTTTAAATCTGCCCCCAGACTGCCTGTCTTCTGATACCTCATCTCCCATCTCCATGCTTTGACTGGCTTTCTCCCCTGCCTGGAATGCACCTTCCCTTCACCACTCCCTTGTAAAATCCCTTGTTTCCTTCAAAATTCAGCTCCAGGAACACCTATTTCATGGAGCTTTATGTAATCTACCCCCTCCAGTTACTCTTTCCTAAAATACCTTGTGTTTCTTTTGTGTTTATTTATGTACATATGTACATTGTATGGTAAGCTTCTTGAGGACAGGGATAGTTTTGCTTTTATGTCTTTCTGTCCCCAGCATCTAGAAAATACCTGGCCAATAGTACTTAATAAATGTTTGTTGTCTGTGAGTCTACAAGAGGATTAAATAACTTTTGCATTTTTCCAAGTTAGTAGAAGGTTCAGTTAAACAGATTGATTTATTAAATACCTTCTTTGTGGAAGGCACTGCCCCCTCTTATAAAGCCAAAGTTCTAAGCCTTTTGGAACTTATCTGAAGGAATGAATGAAAATGCATTTGTTAAGCATTTACCAAAAAATTTCAAAATATCTTCATTTCACAGGTTAAGTGTAAAGAATAGATTTTGTTGTTGCTTAATTGTTTTCACTTGTCTGACTTCTTGACCCCGTTTGAAGTTTTCTTGGCAGAGATGCTGGATTGGTTTGCTATTTCCTTCTTCAGCTTATTTTACAGATGAGGTAAGCAAGGCAAAGAGTTAAGTGACTTTCCCAGGGTCACGCAGCTAGTAAGTGGCTGAGGCCAGATTTGAATTCAGGAAGGTGAGTCTTTGTGATTCCAGCCCTGGCACTCTATCCACTGCAACAACTAGCTGATTTTGTGAGCTCCTTAAAGGGCAGGGACTTTTTTATTTTTGTATCCCCTATGCCTAGCACATTTTCCCACACTTCACAGTGGCACTTAGTCGTTGAATGTTGCACTGTGCTAGTGTGATCAAATAGGAAGTGTTCTATTTGGTGTCCCAAAACTTGAGCTTAAATTCTGCTTTGATAGTTACGACTTTTGTGACCTGGGGCAAGTTACATAATCTCTGGGGTTCAGTTTCCTTATGTGTAAAATAAGAGGTCTGGACCACTTATCTGAGACTCCTTCTAGTTCTCAATCCTGTGATCCTTTGAAAGGCCAACTTAACAGCTGACTGGTTCATCATCTTAAGGTCTTTATTAATGTGCATGTAGTTTTCCTT